ACCAGTCAACTGGTCATTACTAAGTATATATGTTTAATGTTAGAACCAGTCAACTGGCCATTACTAGGTTTATATGTTAGATGTTAGAACCAGTCAACTGGCCATTACTAGGTATAAATGTTAAATGTTAGAACCAGTCAACTGGTCATTACTAGGTATATATGTTTAATGTTAGAACCAGTCAACTGGCCATTACTAGGTATATATGTTAAATGTTAGAACCAGTCAACTGGCCATTACTAGGTTTATATGTTAGATGTTAGAACCAGTCAACTGGTCATTACTAGGTATATATGTTAGATGTTAGAACCAGTCAACTGGCCATTACTAGGTATATATGTTAGATGTTAGAACCAGTCAACTTGGCCATTACTAGGTTTATATGTTTAATGTTAGAACCAGTCAACTGGTCATTACTAAGCATATATGTTTAATGTTAGAACCAGTTAACTGGTCATTACTAGGTATATATGTTAGATATTAGAACCAGTCAACTGGCCATTACTAAGCATATATGTTTAATGTTAGAACCAGTTAACTGGTCATTACTAGGTATATATGTTAGATGTTGGAACCAGTCAACTGGCCATTACTAAGTATATATGTTTAATGTTAGAACCAGTTAACTGGTCATTACTAGGTATATGTGTTAGATGTTAGAACCAGTCAAATGGCCATTACTAGGTATATATGTTAGATGTTAGAACCAGTCAACTGGCCATTACTAGGTATATGTGTTAGATGTTGGAACCAGTCAAATGGCCATTACTAGGTATATATGTTAAATGTTAGAACCAGTCAACTGGCCATTACTAGGTTATGGTGTATGTGTTAGATTTTGGGCTTAGCAAATTGAACATAACAAAATTATGTGTTATAAGTATGCGGCTCAGCCAAACAAAACAATGTGTAATTTGTCTTTATAAATATTGGGAATAAGTAAATAAGTTTGAGAAACTCCTCAAATCAGGAATTACGTGTTAGATGTTGGAACCAGTTAACTGGTCATTACTAGGTTTATATGTTAGATGTTAGAACCAGTCAACTGGACATTACTGGGTATAGATGTTAGATGATAGAACCAGTCAACTGGTCATTACTAGGTATATATGTTAGATGATAGAACCAGTCAACTGGTCATTACTAGGTTTATATGTTAGATGTTGGAACCAGTCAACTGGTCATTACTAGGTATATATGTTAGATGTTGGAACCAGTCAACTGGCCATTACTAGGTTTATATGTTAGATGTTGGAACCAGTCAACTGGTCATTACTAGGTTTATATGTTAGATGTTGGAACCAGTCAACTGGCCATTACTAGATATACATGTTAGATGTTGGAACCAGTCAACTGGTCATTACTAGGTATATATGTTAAATATTGGAACCAGTTAACTGGCCATTACTAGGTTTATATGTTAGATGTTGGAACCAGTCAACTGGTCATTACTAGGTTTATATGTTAGATGTTGGAACCAGTCAACTGGCCATTACTGGGTATATATGTTAGAAGTTAGAACCAGTCAACGGGTCATTACTAGGTATATATGTTAGAAGTTAGAACCAGTCAACTGACCATTACTAAGTATATATGTTTAATGTTGGAACCAGTCAACTGGCCATTACTAGATATACATGTTAGATGTTGGAACCAGTCAACTGGCCATTACTAGGTTTATATGTTAGATGTTGGAACCAGTCAACTGGTCATTACTAGGTATATATGTTAGAAGTTAGATCCAGACAATTGGCCATTACTAAGTATATATATTTAATGTTAGAACCAGTCAACAGGCCATTACTAGGTATACAAGTTAGATGTTAGAACCAGTCAACTGGTCATTACTAGGTTTATATGTTAGATGTTGGAACCAGTCAACTGGCCATTACTAAGTATATATGTTTAATGTTAGAACCAGTCAACTGGTCATTACTAGGTATATATGTTTAATGTTATAAACAGTCAACTGGCCATTACTAGGTATATATGTTTAATGTTATAAACAGTCAACTGGCCATTACTAAGTATATATGTTTAATGTTAGAACCAGTCAACTGGTCATTACTAGGTTTATATGTTAGATGTTGGAACCAGTCAACTGGCCATTACTAAGTATATATGTTTAATGTTATAAACAGTCAACTGGCCATTACTAGGTATATATGTTTAATGTTATAAACAGTCAACTGGCCATTACTAAGTATTTATATGTTTAATGTTAGGAACCAGTCAACTGGTCATTACTAGGTATTATATGGTTAAATGTTGGAACCAGTCAACTGGCTCATTACTAGGTTTATATGTTAATGTTGGAACCAGTCAACTGGCCATTACTAAGTATATATGTTTAATGTTAGAACCAGTTAACTGGTCATTACTAGGTATATGTGTTAGATGTTAGAACCAGTCAACTGGCCATTACTAGGTATATATGTTAAATGTTAGAACCAGTCATTTGGCCTTAACAAAGTTATGGTGTATGTGTTAGATTTTGGGCTTAGCAAATTGAACATCACAAAGTATGTGTTATAAGTATGTGGCTTAGCCAGACAAAACAACGTGTAATTTGTCTTTGTAAATATTGGGAATAAGTAAATAAGTTTGAGAAACTCCTCAAATCAGGAATTATTGCCATAAAAACAAAATACTGCTGTCTTGTGTATATTGTTATAATGACAATCATCTGTTTCCTAAATTACTCCAAATGTCTCAGTTCCTGGTCCTGCCAGTAATGTCAATGCTAATACTGATGATGGATCTGTGATTGAACTTGCCTGGTCCTCACCAAAAAGGTAGGAAACACACTGGTTTCATTTTCATGCTGGTTACATGAACATTTAAATCATAAAAAGTTTATTCAAATATTCTAAAGGTTTTTCATCATTAGATCACGAACCTCTGTTACACACATTCTGTTTATTTGTGGAGATATTACTCTACCTTTCATGTGCAATGACAAGTAGATAGTACCATATTGAACCTAATACGATATAATGACCAATGCCCTTTAGCCTAATCACCCATCAAACCAAACATAAACAACTGTTTCTCATGCTTTACAGGTGCAGTCTGGCATTGATAGTGTTTCTTTTTAGTTGGAACATTATATTTGAAGATTGACAAATGATTAACTGTTAATGTTGTGAACACTGTACACAATGAATAATGCTGACAATACACTCATATTTATAATTTTAGGGACATTACCAGTTTTGTACACGCTACTTTTTATTATCAAATGCATCAAGAAATGACAGGCAATAACTAGATGAAAACAACTTGTGTAGCAGAATGTGCATAATAAAAGCCAGCCATGGATGTTAGTGGAGAAATTTTCACTAAACAAACACTAAAAGAAGCAGATTTATATAATTGTAAATGAATACTCATATACTTGAAATATTTATGCAATATCTTTCAATGAATTGTATTTATTTTCAAAGTGCGTATACATAATACTATACCTGCAAATTATAATACCTAAAATAACTTTTAATTGTCTCATAGTGAATGTAATTATGTGGCCGTCAGGGCATTAGTAACCGGCCCTTGTCACTGTAAAATATTAAATGTTTTCCTATCCATTATTTGCCTTACGGCAAATTTAGCCTCATTGATGAATCTGGCATTCTCATCTAGGGTAGGTTTTAATCATTTCTTGGTATTCAACTCTGAGGTAAAAATTTGAAATTTGTCGTTGATTTGATGTGAAGGTTATTTCGATTTTTCTGCAATAGCCAATGTGCTACTATTGATTGGTGCATTGGATGACATACTTGAATTAAATGGTGTCTATGGTGACAGCTAGCAATTGCTATGGTCGAGATTTTGAGGAAAGTTGAGTTGATTGTACACTGGCTGATATTGTAAAATCATGTGAAAAACATCAATTTGTGTCCAAAAATGTTTATTTTTTATACTGGTAGGCCTAATGGACCTTTGACTGGCATGGCATACCAAGTATCCTGTTGGAATAAAATCAACACCGAACCTGTTTCACTGGTTGTAGATAGTAATGAAGCCAATATACAAGTAGACTGTGATAACATTAATGAGGGTTTACCAGGTATTTGTACAGTGCAAGCAATCAGCGCTGAAGGCCAGGATGGTGCAATAGTGGCTGCTGAAACGCAACCACTTGTATGCTATAATACTGAAGGTGATTACTCTTATGATGTGTGAATCCCTGATCTTGCTATCATGTTACACTCCTAAGGCAGTCTTCTCGAAATAACCAAATGGTTCAACCACATGCAGACATATATAATAAGATATATATAGTTCATATATTTAACAGAATAACTAAGGTTAATACTTGCAATATTCCTCCATTGCTATTTCAATATCAAATAATACAATCTGTTGCAATGATTTTTTGGTTCCTTCCTCCGTCAGAATGTTTGTCTAACATTGATTCATAGCCTGATGGAGTTTACAACTCAGGGTTTATGTTCACCTATAGAAAACAGCTACAAGATAATTAGATTCAACTAATTGGTGCGGATTATTTTATCTTGTGAAATGGCTGTCCTGGCTAAATTGAAGAACACGTTGGCTAGTATTTGGCTTAGATATTATTAGATATGTACTATTAATTTTTAGGAACAAAGAGATTAATACAGTACAAGTGGTAGTTTTTGAGAAACATGAATTTTATGTAATTTTTATGTAATTATGATGACTTTGTTGTTCTTGTATATTTACATCTAAATTTTAGCCAGTATTTTTCGCGTAAGATATATGTTTAGATATATTACTACTTCAAGCTTTTTATAGTCACTTTTGCCATGCAAAAGAAGATTGTGCATCATTAATTTTTATCTATCCATTTATTTGTTGTATTAATCTTAATGGGCATGGTTGTTATAGATACGCTATGTTCTTTGAGGTCATTTCAGTTTGATTATATTGATTTTTTTCTTGTATGAAAGGAATCTATTCTTTAAGTTTTATTTTTTATTCATTAGTATTTATCTCTAAGTTACAGTATTTGATAGTTATACTAACTAGACTTATAGTCACTGTTGTTAAGTTGAGTATTTTGTTTTTTTCATTCATAATTATTTTTTGGAAATTTCCCAGAGCAGAGCTGTTTATATAGCTGATCGTCTGTCTGTCGCTCCATCAACAATTCTATTTGTGACTTTTTCTTGAAGACCACCAGCCCAATTACCTATTTTGTGTCAAATACCATTAACTCTTCTTCTTGAATACGCAGCTCAATTGCTTTGGTACTTTGTGTGTAGGTAACATGGGGACCTCCACAGGATTTATTAACCGATTACAGCAATTATGATTGTCATGGCAACAAGCATATTAACTACCATTTTTAGCTCCGCCTTCGACTTCTTGAAAACTACAAGCCTGAATGCTTTGATACTTGCTGTATATGTCTTGGGTAGACCTCTCTCAGATTTGTTCATTTCATGATCATATCTTCAATTCTCTAATTTTGGTGAATATTTTTGTCATTTTTGGTAAAAAGTGATATTTTCGACTTCTTGTTAAAAACCGCAAGTCCAATTGCTTTGATATTACATATATAGTCCTACATGTGGACCTCTCACAGATTTGTTCATTTTGTAATAATATCTTTAATTCTCTAATTTTGGTGAAAATTTTTGCTAAAAAGTGATATTTTCGACTTCATGTTAAAAACCACAAGTCCAATTGCTTTGATATTACATATATAGGTACTACATGTGGACCACTCTCAAAATTGGTAATTTCATGATGTTACCTTCAATTCTCTAATTTTGATGAATATTTTTATCATTTTAGGTAAAAAGTGATATTTTCGACTTCTTTGTTAAAAACCGCAATCATTTATGGTGAAAAATGATATTTTTGAATTCTTGTTGAAAACAGCAAAGTCCCATTGGATTGATATATGCATATTGTTCATTTTCTAAATGATATCTTCTGTTCTTTAATTGAAATGTGCATTGCTAACAGCGGAGCTATCTCAGCCGAGAGGCTGCTTGTTGTGATATGGCAAGAACATTGTGAAAACACTAATAACTATGACAAATTGTTAATATCTGAGTGTACAGAACATTATCAACTTTCTTTTGGGGAAATCACTCCACAAAAACAACAGAGCTATTTTAAACGTCAGGCCGCTCGTAATTAATGTTTTTTGTAAAAGATATTTTTGACTTCTTCATGAAAAGCAAACATTTTTGTATTTTTGTGTGTGTTTTGTCTGTCATGTGTCGAAACAGCAGAGTTAATTTGACTGCCAGGTCGCTTGTTGACTGAACCATTGAATGTAATGCTGTCAAATTTTCACATATATAATTTTATATATTTTAATGAAAACCAAAGAGGACAATTGTTATCCTCTCAAAAGGTTGATGCAATATGACATTTTTGTAGAAGCATCACTGCCAGATGTGCTATGGATATCACAAATAAAAACTAAAAACTTGTAATGTGACTTTTCGTATTATTATATTACATGTGTAATTTACAAAATAACATGAATGAGTTGTTAATTCTTAAATATATTATCAAATTAGCATATAATTTTGAATATGGTTTGAGTTTGCATTCTTATTACATAACAATTATTGAAATTGGCAACCAATTTAGAAAAATGATACATCAACTTTTCAATTTTCCATTTTGATTGGTTTCTTGTTAGGTTTCAGTAATTTGAATTAGTTCTTATAGATTCATTGACATGCTTACAAACAATACCGTTTTACAAATTATATCTTGTCACATGATAGTTTGTATTATCATTGACTTAGAAATGCATAATTTCTTACTCTGGAATTTCCATTAGGTATAAGTACCGCTTTTATAAAAAAAAGAATTACTCAAGTCAGTCACATAAACTGTCCGCCATATTAGATTAACAAGCAACGGCTTAATAATCCATTTATTGAACCACCATCATTCAGCTCCTGCACAATATAACCATACACATCACGTTTTGGGGAAATAAAGTTCATAACTAGTGGTCAATACGAAATTAGATAAAAACCAGTTGAGAAAAAAACATATTGGCTTTATGTTTTTGTTTGTCTAGTTTCTGTCCTTATACAATCTTTAATATCAGGAAGATATTAATAACATGAAATATGTTATTGATATTGACTTATCGAATGTTTGTTTCACTTTTATGCAGATTGGCCATATGTCTTGATGACAATTGCAGTCATATTGTTCTTGGTTCTGCTAGGAGTTCTGATAAAACTATTTTGTATTTATGCAACAAAAAGGGACATTAATTACAAAGTTCCGAAGATTGAGCCTGTTTGGATGGAAGTTGTGGTAAGAATAAACATTTTTGTTTTCAAACTAAGCTGAGTATTTCATTTCAAATTGCAAAACTATGTGGGGTGTTATTTATATCTGTGATACCATTTTATGAAAGGGTGTGTGCTTATTCCTGGAGAAATTAACATATTCCAAAATCAATTCTAGATATCATTAATATCCACCACTCTAATTTAAATATAAGGTGAACATGACATCTCAAAAAATAGAATGAAATAGCCTGTTACTTTACCTAGATGATCATCAATTCATTACCAGATCATAATCCTGTATGATAATGTTAGTTTGATAATGATAGTTTTAATTTCCAGAAAGTAATATTTAATATAATCATCTGAGTGTTGAGAATTGAATATGCATATTGAAGATATCTAATGCAGATGGCCTTTAGCTTAGAGAATACTTGTAAGGATTCTACCTTCTCAGCCCCATGAAAATAAGTGTATACATGTACACACTGGGGTTACATTAAACTTAATCCAACAACATTACTTCAATATGATGGTGATGATTGAATATAGATTGCATCCTTGTTGTGTGTACTTTTGAGTGAATTATGACGTGGCTTGTTCCAAACACACAGTTAGTCTTGGTGATTGGCTCAAACCAAGTAAATAATTTTCATGTATTTGTAGGATCTACCAAATCCTGAAGATGACTACAATGAGGGGGCGTATGATATACCCCGTGACGTGAGAAGTGAGAGCAAAATGAGTATGAACCACACTGCTAACTTCAAGTGGGAACCTGTCATCAAAACTTGCCCCGCTCCTGGTGATAGTAAGAGTAACGGCAAGTACTATGTTAAAACATGCCTCAGAGATGACAGTGGGCGACAATCCACGTCCAATCATCATGGGATAGGTTCAAATAGTAACGACAATGAAATGAGTGACCTGTCACATTTTT